TCCAGGAGAGAAGTACGAGGCCGATTCCATTGCAGAAGGGTGTCAGACAGGGTGACGTAATTTCCCCGAAACTGTTCACCGCTGCATTGGAAGACGTCTTCAAGCTTCTGGATTGGACTGAACTCGGCATCAACATCAACGGCGAATACATCACTCACCTTCGATTTGCAGACGATATCGTGGTTATGGCAGAATCCCTGGAGGACCTTGGCACAATGCTCAATGACCTCAGCAGAGTTTCCCAACGGGTTGGTTTAAGGATGAACATGGATAAAACCAAGGTCATGTTCAATGTCCATGTCACTCCAGCACCAGTATCTGTTGGGAATGCGATTCTCGAAGTTGTCGATCATTACGTCTACCTAGGACAAACAGTCCAGTTGGGCAAATCCAACTTCGAGAAAGAGGTCAACCGACGAATCCAACTCGGATGGGCAGCGTTCGGGAAGCTTAGGCATATCCTCACGGCCAAAATTCTCCAGTGCCTGAAAAGAAAGGTCTATGCCAGTGTGTGTTACCAGTGATAACTTATGGGACTGAGACGTGGTCTCTGAATGTCGGCCTCATGACAAAACTCAAAGTCGCGCAGCGTGCTATGGAGAGGGCTATGCTCGGTGTTTCCCTACGTGATAAGATCCGGAATACGGAGATCCGTAGAAGGACCGGTGTGTACGACATAGCCCGAAGAGTCAGCACGCTGAAGTGGCAATGGGCAGGCCACATCGCTCGAGGACCTGACAACCGTTGGGTAAGAAAGGTCCTCGAGTGGCGACCACGTACCGGACGACGCAGCGTGGGGCGGCCCCCAACACGGTGGACTGACGACATCGTCAAATGTGCTGGGAGCCGCTGGATGCGGATAGCGCAGGACCGCGCATTGTGGCGTTCTATGGGGGAGGCCTATGTCCTGCAGTGGACGGAAAAAGGCTGATGGATGGATGGATGGATATCAATATAATAAATATGTATGTGACTTTCACATACATATATTTTTAAAGTCAGGTTAGAGGTTAACTTATTTCAATCAAACTGTTGGCGACTGGCTGTGGCTACAAACCTCCTTTTATAATACGTTTATATTTTGTACTTGCTTTACTTTTCTATGTCACTATTTGACACCATTATGCTTTGTTGATAGACGTTTGCTATTGTCTTGTCACTAGCTTACGAACGTTTATAATGTGAACACGTATTATATTTTATTTACTGCTACGTGTCGTTTTCCTCCATAATTTCTATTTAGCTTAGTACAGTCCACCGCTATACAACACAAACTATATAAGGAAAATCACAAGCAAGACTTGGTCATCTGTTGATGCCTTATTACTGTGTGGGTTAACACTAATGTTTTGTTTTGTAAAAAATCGGTTAAATAAACAATAGAAAAAGAAAATACAATACTTCTTACTTGATCACTATTGTTTATGTTTCATAAGACTGTGTTTAATTTTATTTGATGACAGTTGAGTCTTTTGTAGCTTCTTTATTACTTTATTTTTAGTGATAACATTACAACTTACACCTAAGTTATATATATGTATTTCTTTTTATCTTCAAATGTGGCAAACAAAAAGTAAGTGTTTTTAAATGCTTCTGATACCAGAGAGATTACTTGGTCGTTTGTGTATCCTTATCCCGCGGAGTTCTAACTCACCGACAGAACACAATACCACTGAATGGTTGTTTTTCATTACGGTCTTAAATGAGAGACGTTACTTCCTCAGTCAAATATCCCCCTTAAAAATTTTATTGAAGCAACATTTACTTTGATTCATATTTACATAAATACAAAAAACATTTTTTGCTATAAAAAAATTCACTCGGCCAATGTCATGCTGGATTTTTAAACCTAGCAGTTTAATACTTCAAATGAAAATTTATAAATTTATTTAAATCTAAAGAACAACTAGAAAAAAATCTTTTTCTAGTAATATTTTCTTTAGATTTAAATATCTAGCCGTTAAAAGCTTAAAAATAAAAACATAAATAAATTTATATAAATATGATAAGCTTTTGTCATCCCTAAGCAGTTTGCGTGTGCTTTGTTTGGCGAGTCAAATGTCACATGTCGCTCGGATTAATTTGCGAGCCAATTACAATGAAGAATGTCGCCGTATCTTATATAATCGTTATGATATATCGCAGCCGAATTAATTAATTATGTCACACGATTCAGTTGATCCAATTTGAACTTATTAAGTCACAGATTAACGAGTAATTAATAAAAGACTATTATTAGTAATGACAGATAATTAAGTGAAAAATTGGAATAGATACTAACGACAAACTAACGTTTTTTGTAGGTTAAATTTGGTTCATTTGACTATTCCTTTACTTAAGTTTGCGAGGTTGGCTAAGTGTGAAGCATCTTAAAGGATTTATCGACAAAGATAAATTGTAGATCCAAATAAGACTTTATCTTGTTAAGATACTTATTACTTAACTATTAAAAAATAATTAAAAAAATAAAATATTTACTTATATATTTTTTTCTAATCAATTGAATGCAAAAGTGTTTAATTTAGAACTCGCCAACCCTACACAATTATTTTGAGGCGACAATGTCTACGGCAACGGCAATTAATCCAAGTGGGGTATTAATTTGAAAACCAATTACATACTTCAAAGCGCGCAGCAATATGTGCAACTATTTACTTATTGTTGATGCAAACAACAAACTAATCAACCGCCCTGTAAATAAAATTGAAATATCCTCGAAGATCTAAGTCCTCAGCTTAACGAGATCGATCGAAAGTTAAGGCTAAATTTAGTTAACCTTTAACCTAATAAAAAACAGCATTGAAAATTCGACCTTAATGAGTTTCCGATTATATTTGGAACAGTTTAAGGAGTGATTTTTGTCTCGCATTGCTTTCTAAGTGTCTTTGACAAAAGTATCAATATAAACTTAGATTTACATAAGGTGTTTCTTAAAATTTCATTACAAATTACGAACATTTACAAATAAATATGAATTTATCTATCGCACCATAGGAATCTTATCTTCTTCTTCTTATTGGCCTGGCCTATCGCACCGAAGCCACATTTGGCGTTGACTGTTAGGAAAAAAAATGCGCGTACAATAAATATAATTTTAGTAGCAACCCTAAAAGCAGAGTTTGGCGTATCAAATGTCACATGTTGGGCGGATTAATTTGCGAAGCAATTACATGGAAGTACAACGCGCGTCGTAATGTATTGAGGTGGTTAATGAGGGTGAGCTGTTGCGAGCTGTTATTGCTATACTGCCACTTGATAAAGAACTCACAGATGTTAACAAGACCAGGTCTGAATTAGTAGAAGTCTTCGATAATCATACTTAAGTTATCTGTTATTATATCAATTATTTATTATATTCGATAATCAAAATAGTCGATTTGTTTCTAGTGAACTTTTTCTTCAGATTTGTAAATAAAAAAATAAGTTTTATACCATAGTCTGTTGTGAAGAGAATCCGATAATATAAATAAGATGTGCACGCTACAATTGAGAAGAAAAGATAATAACAGCTAGTTAATCTTGTATATTGAAATAAAAATACTCCAAAAACATAATCTATCATTCTACTGGATACAAATACTAGTAATTAGATATCATATATCAAACTTGATCGTATAAGGTTACCTATCAGTGAAATTATTTAAGCTCATAGGATGCCGATAAGTCGCAAATGGGATTAACACGTCCCTGTGGAGACATAAGCTGATCTGGTTACAGGAACCGCCGATGTTACAGAACAATGCGGAGACGACAATGTTCTAATACCGATTTACTATATATATATACGTTTGTCTTATCACAACACCTAATACGTATCTTATCAGGTATAACATCGATATTCAATACGCGAAAATTTATCTGTTTCTGTAAATTCTCGTCTAATATCTGAAAATTTAAACTGTTCTTAAGGCGCTGTAGGTAGTCAAGTCATCATTATTGACGTTGTTAATAGAATACCTATAAAGATGCTGTACATGTGATTTTTATATGTATACTAGCTGACCCAGCGAACTTCGTACCACCCTAAAAAAATAGGGGTTGTCCAGCGGACAAAATTGTGAATCTAAACCATTCTCAGATCCCCTTGAACACACACAAAAAATTTCATCAAAATCGGTCCAGTCGTTTAAGAGAAGTTCAGTGACATACACACTCACAGAAGAATTATATATATAAAGATCTTCAGCTGCTAAGCTAAAGTTTCACTAGCCCGTAAACATGATTATCGAAAAATTTCTCGTTAGATTTTGTCTTTGAAAAATGTTCGATTTTTTACCTAAGAATTAAATAAGCTTTTTAATAAATCTGAGTTTCTGCTTAGTGATTCTGTGTTTTTATTTTTCTCACTCATATCATCATATCATTTTTTTATTCAAAAGCTCGGGCATTTCAAATTCAGAGTTTAAGATATTAAGGGGTTGAAAATACTGGATGTTGAATCGATTTTCTGAAATAAATAATATTTTTTTAATTAAATCGAAACTGTTTGGCGTTCTCATACAAAATGCACTTCACTATGATTATACGGAACTATCGATACAGCGGTAATAGTATCTCTTCTCTAACAGTTTCCCTGGGGTCGGAATCGATCAGGCAGTAATTAACTGTTTGAGAGCTGATACGGTACACACTCAGCTATTATAGCATTTATATAACGCGAATATTGAGCCCGTACTAGTGGGATATTACTGCACTCAAATATGCCTGATCAATTAAAAAGCTGAAATCAAATATATCCTATCCATATGATACTTATAAATTTACGTGTGGATTTTATCAGCGTTGTTTGTTTGTTTTTATTTTATTATTATTTACGATTATGATAAAATATATATTCTAGTTAACCGTAATAAAGCTTGAATCAGTAAAGACATATAAACCCAGTAAAATTTGAAATATATATAAATGCATTTTGTGATGTTGACACGCATACTACATGCGTTAAAACTTTTAAGAATAACTATCAAACTTAATGAATATTATATATTGTTTCATTTCAGGTGAAAATATGGTTCCAGAATAGAAGAACGAAATGGAAGAAGAAAGACAATATCACGAACGCAGAAGTGGCAGAATTCAAGCAACAAAATAAACCAGCAGCAGAAGAGAAAAAAGAAGAGCCCACAAAAGAAGATCCGCTTGCTTTAGACATGTCAAAGAGGAATTGTAACAAAATACTTAGTGAAAAATTACGCAGCACGAAAGTTGTTGCACCAAGCCTTTCAGCGAAACCTAGGAAAGTAGAAAAGGGTGTTCTGCTCGAAAGCATTTGTGATGCAAACGACGTAGAGAGTAGGATTTCAATAACCAAAATAACAAATAAATTATCTAGTACAGATATAACCGGAGACACTGGGAAAATAACGGTAAAAAGCTTTAGTCCGGAAGAAGTAAAGGATTTGAAATTTGACGCATTGAGTAGAGATGTTGAAATGTAAAATAATCATTATGTTTAAGCCTTCCAATTTGTGATCTCTGGAGATGTTTTGGTAATTTATTTTTCGGGGATGAATTGTACGTATATAAATTATTGTATTGGTCTTTGATCAACTACTCCATCATACCGAGTTATTTGATGAAAAGAAATAAATTGATCAGGTTTATTATTTAAATTATTATGAATAGGTACGTGTAAAAATATGGATAAATTTTTAAGTATAATATACTTACACAAGAACAAGGTACTGCAGAGTTGATCAAAGGCTTTACAGACGTCACGAAAATTTTCTATTCTTGGAGAATTTCAAAATGCTCCATCAGTGTAAATATTAGATTTAGATTGTTTTGAGTTTGTGTGAAACATGTTTTGTATCTAAACCAACTGTGCTTATGTAGTTTTTGTACGGCAGTTTCTATTATGTATGTTGTAGTTTCATGCAGTTCGTTTGTTGTAAAATAATTTTTAGTTAGATGCTTGGCTTGGTTCTCTATTAAACTCCTCAAAAATGACTTTAAATAAGAATCATAAACTTATGGCTGTAGGGGATCATTTTGTTGTTGTCTTCTATTGTTTCTTTTCCGAATGTTTACTTTTTTAATTTGCTATGATAAACAACATAATGTTCAAAAATAGTACAGTTTTGGTTGTGCTGAAGGATCTGTTAATTATATCAACTAGAATTGTTTCAGATTCTAAGAAATAAAGCTAGTAACAACAATTTTTATCATTAAATCATCATATCTTTCCTGGTATGCTAAAAACAGCTTGAAGAGATATTATTTTTATTTGAATCAAATACTGCCATCAATTGATAACTTCTTCTTATTTTTGTTTTTCAATTTATTCAAAATAAAATTCGATATAATTATTTTTTGTGAGTTTAATTGGGATCAAGCCCCTTTGTGGACTAACCGGATTGTCATACAAATATTTGTTTTACAATGTGTAAATCTCTCTAAATCATTTGTTTCTAATACAAAGAAAACTTAATAATATCTATGAATTTGTTAATGATTGTCAAATTATTATAGAGACCTTTTATTCTTCTAATTTGGTTTTCGAGAAATAGTTTTTATTGTTCCGAATTTGTTTTGTATTGTAGACACTTTTTTCTTAATGAATAAGTATTAGTCAAGCATTTATACGCTCTAATTACGTAATGTAATACTCATGTATACGTGCAATACGTATATCACGATATTTGGATTCCGATACTAAAAAAATATGATTTGCAAGGATCAACATAAAAATGGTTCACATAAATATTTTTTTCCTATTAATTTTATACAAAAATAAAGGTTTTTAAAAGTCTTATTTAAAATGTTATATTTACTTATTATTTTGAAGATACTTATAACCATATTTTAGTTATTGTACACGCTTCAAATTGTATACGATCTAACAAGTAAAACATTAGAACTTAAATTTTCTTATATTAACCTCCTGAGAACCACAACTTTTGTTTTCGGGAATTTAATTTAAAACTTACTAGATCGATTTTATATGTCACTAGATGTTCTCAAAAAATAGAAAAAAAAATGTCTGTTGGAAAATCTAGATTTTCTCAATGTAGTATATATACAACATCAGTTCTGTATACCTAATGTGTAAAATGCAGTATGTTTACAATATAAAAAATATTTTATGTAATGATGGTATGTCGGTATTATTTATGTACATTTGCTGCATAAATAATTTAATGCATAGTAAAACACAACTATAAAATCAAGTAACGGGGCATTTATTTTCTAATTTTAGGCTAAGTAGTTTTTTACAAACCTCAGTTAGCAGATTTGCTTTATTATCTTAAACGTATCGTATCGTACGTACGTATCTTTACGAAGCTTTAACAAAAATCTGCATATAAAATAAATTACGTTTTAACATATGCAAAAATTATACCTACCTATCAAAATCCTATCAAAAGTTTGTTGTGTGAATCTCTATAAAAAATGTTTTTCTTTGCTTCCTTTCCTGACCTGATAGAAAATATCGCCTCCGACTCATAGCAGATTTTATGATTTGAATCCCGTATTTATCTGACCAATACGTACTTATAGCTGGCAAATTAATAGACCCCATGACTAGCCGACTAGGACGCCTATGAATGTACTGAACGTCATCTACAACTCTTCTCCTTTTTTTCAGAAGGTATGTTTTATTTGTAACGTCAAGCATCTGTATCTGCATCTGTTCGAGAATGAGTCAGTTATATAGTGTTTAAAAAACTCTTGATGAATCCGTATTAAGTTCCATAAATCTTGGCTGATAAAAAAGTTTCTCTAAAGTAGTGAAATTACCGGTCCATGTATTATATATACCAGTTGTCGATGATGGTAAAAATGTGGCGCTTTGTCCTCAAATACCTCTGGTTCTTGCACGGCTCGACCGACTACCACGCGTACAAGGGCCACTTCTGGTCCTGGCATGACTACTGTGGGTAACAGCAATAGAAGAACACAAAAATGTGCAGATTCTGGACGGATCTTATCTTCATTCGAAGAACCAGGGTAAAAATGGCTATCATAATTTCGCGCTGAATAGATCTCTTCTGTTGGATTCTCTTCATCCGACAAATCAATCAATTTTATTCTAAGACTAGCTTTTGCCCGCGACTTCGTCCGCGTTATCGTCGTTTTTCGTAAAAAAGTAGCATATGTCCTTCCTCAGGGTTCCGTGGTTTTGATGTGACAGACAGATTAACTTTCGTATTTTAGTAGGGAAATATAATACTGTTAAAAATATCGCAATAAGGAACCGCAGAATATTATTATTATCACTGTGCCCCGAGACCATCAGCGTGTAACTCCTTGTATGTTATTATGTTATTGTATTGGTAATATTGTTTAGATCGCTTTCACATGAGTCTTAAGTACATATAGAATGAAAATACTTCAGCGCAAAGCTTCCGGGTAGACTACGTTGAAATTTGACCCGTCCGGAACGTGAACATAAAAAATTCTAGGACTGCTAACCCGGGAAAGACCGACATAACTGACCATGTGAAAAACAACTGACACCGAGATCTACTCCAACAACACCAAAGGTCTGCCCTTGAGCCTTATTTATTGTCATTGCATAACACACCGATACTGGGAATTGCGTTCTTTTAAATTGGAATGGAAAATTATTTGGTATTATGGGAATTCTGGTAATAAAGATGGTTTCTCCTGCACCGCAACCTATTAAAATTTGAGCCTCGATTACATTTTGTTGCAACTGGGTTACTTTAAGCAGAGTTCCATTGCAAATTTGTGGTGGTCTTAAATTTCGGAGCAGAATAATCGGAATGCCAATTTTTAAACAAATTTCATGAGAAGGAAGTACGGGCTTATTTAAAGAATTTAAAAATTCTATCGGGTAATTAGTGGCTTCTTGTTCATCGGCCATTCTATTTATTGAACTATAAACTTTGCTTTCCCCCTGGATATTCGACAGTATTTTATTATTAATCTCAGATGTCTGGTCATTGCGAGGAGTTAAAATGGACCTTTCGCATAGCCAAGAATTGTTCTTATTTAATATATTTGTTACGTCACCGTAAACTGACTATGTAAGATGTTGTTGGGATTGCACTATACAACAAACTCAGGCGTCAGAATAAGTTTTCCTTGGTGTAGCAGTGGATAGGTATCTTTGGTGAAGGTATTTTCTTTAATAATATATCAGAAAATTCACGATCATCCGGGTTATCTACAGTTCTCACTCGCATGTTTATAGTCAAATGCACCGATTGTATATCACGCCACAAATAAGAGCTTTTCAGGCAAGCCCTAACCTCAGCAGCTCGGGTTCCCCGTGGTATTACCGTTAAGGTTTGTCGGAAATCACCACAAAATAAAACTGTGATACCGCCCATGGGTCGATCATTTTGTCTTATATCTCTTAAAGTTCTGTCTACCGCTTGTACTCCTTTTCGATGGGCTATCGTACATTCATCCTATATGATTAAATTACACTTTGAACGAATATTTAAACACTACCAAAACAACTAATACGTGGTCCTAACTTTAGCTACCTTACACATAAAATCTAAGTGACTATTTGAACTAAAATATTCTTATAGAATTATAACCAGAAATATATACAACTTACAACAAAAAAGAAATGAAAATAAAGCTGAAACGCCTGTGCAATATTATCTACCTATACCTCCTTCACTTAAAAATAAATACTTATAACTACTTTAATTAATAAAAGTACCTACGCTTAATAATTTTTAATTTGAACGAATATTTAAACACTACCAAAACAACTAATACATGTTTTACAAAATTACAACAAAAGAAATTCAAATAAACTATTTAAAGACTAAAAGTCGCGCTGATAAGCACGGTTTCGGTCTCCCAGGCGGGGGAGCAGATGAGAAATCCTCATGGATACCCTACAGCCGGCTGCAAGGTTATGTCAGACTCGTACTGACTAAAAAACACCCGTAGGGGCTGCCTCTGGCCGGGAAGGCCTCTAAGGCTTCATCGGAAGCGATCGTCCCCCAGGGGGGGAGCGACGCAGAAAACAGATTTAGACAGCTCGCTCTCGGACCTTTGATACCCTACCGCTGCCGCGACCCGTGTCGAGCGCGGCAACCGTTACACAAAAATAATCCTTATAGCATGATTTAGTATTCACGTGCGACGGCGCGATGGCTTATTTCATGTATAAGTTTGGTGTTTCTATACCGAGTATTATAAACGTAAGAGTAAACAAATATG